AGCCCAGCGACATCAGAGGGCTCAAGGCAAAAATTCCTCTCAATGAACAACATCCCTGTCATCACTCTATGCAAGATCTGCGCTTGCAGGATTGGACCCTATAGTCACTCTACAGGCATCAGAGAATAACACGTAACCCATCAATCATCTCATCTGGAGCAACATCGTCATCGACTTCGATGGACTTCCATAAGCAGTAAGTAAGCAAGTCTGTGTGTAGTAGTAGTAGTAGTAGTAGTAGTAGTAGTAAATAATAATAATAATAATAATAATAATAATAATAATAATAATTTACGGTTTATTGAAAATGTTCTGCAGCCCAAAGGCTGAAAATATACATACAAAGACATGGGATGGGTGGGTGGGTCGCTTAACAAAAGCTTTCATTATACTGAAAGAAAAAGGGGCATGAATTGAACATACAAATTATTATAGTTTACAGTTGATGGCCCGGGCCTGGGCTGGTCATTGAGACACCCGGTGGTGTGGTGTTCACGTGGTGTAGTAACTTGTCCCCGGGTGTTGATATGAAGGACCTTATGTGGTCATTGAGACACCAGGTGGTGTGGTGTTCACGTGGTGTTGTAACTTGTCCCCGGGTGTTGATATGAAGGACCTCACGTGGTAATGGAGAGACCGGGTGGTGTGGTGTTCACGTGGTACAGTGACTCGTCCTCGGGTGTTGATATGAAGGACCTCAAGTGGCCATGGGGACACCGGGTGGTGTGGGGTGGTGTCACATTACCTCACTCCGCTGGGTGATGTTGTGTTATCTCGTAGTCATGTGCATAGCAGGCCGGCCCTCTGTTGTTCCCAGGGTGGATGGATTAGCACCTCCTGGTCAGATGGTGGTTGGTTCCCAGGGGTGCTTATCTCACTGGTGGGTCATGGCTCTCACTGGTACTGTCTAGTGCTGAATTCACTGGCTTAAACACTGTTCAACACTGATCCCACTTCTTTCCCAAACGAAATTGTCACTTTTGATTATGTTGATATCCCGGTGGTGAGGATGGGTCGGAGAGAGGGAATTCGGGAATGGGCCAACATGGGCAAGGAGGGCTGCTGCTCAGCAGGAGCAGTGCCTGAATAGGTCTTGACCCTACGGTGGTCAAGGATGTGTGTGTGTGTGTGTGTGTGTAATTTTACGAGGGTGTTCATAAATTAGTAATGTTAATAGCAGCATGGATGGCAAAATAGTTACAATTACTATTAAATTAATCTGATTTACTTAATACAAATGAAAAGATTTACAAGTGACAGTAAATTCAAGGTTGGTGGTCACTTATGAGAAAGTCCAGATGTTAAATAAATTACAGCTGGGGGTAGAATATGATGGTCGCAAGTAAATCAAATAAAAATTTCACTTTTTATAACAGCAGAAATTGGAGCTGATTTTCTTTGAGGACTCATCATACTGTATAAGCCTACAGAAATACAGTCCCAAAGGGGAGTACAAGTGTAGTAATTCCCATATATTTTGCAATCTGATGTCATAAAATACCTAAAGTGCGCTATTTTAATTTTTGCCGGGACCCAAATTCGTACAGGCGGGAAAACTTTCGTAACATGAAATAGTGGTGGCAATTTAGGAAATTCATAAAAGCGAATTTTCATATATGTACATATCTCAATACAAAGCAGTTATTTATATAGCATACAAACACAATACTGGACTCACAAGTATCAATACAAAAGTCAGCAGCTGCCAAGAGCTTCTCTTTGGTAGTTTGGACAGCACACCACAGTTCCTGTCCCTCCTCCTTCACACATCCTTCCACCAACTTGCCTTTGTAGAGGAATAGTTGGCACCGCAGGCCGCTCACAGACATCGGTATCTTGTTACGAACTGCATCCCAGCATAAAGATCATAAGCTCCTAAAACACAGCTTAGCACACACATCCACAGTCTATTATGAGATTAATTCCAGTATTATCATCAGCAGTGTCTCATACATGCTCCTAGAACTCAGCTGTTAAGAAATTAATACCAATACAATACTGTATAGTAATCAACAGTAACTCACATAAATACTTGTGGAAAACACCTGTTACAGCACAAGTTACTTCCAACCAGGGAATAATCTAGTTACCCTTCTGGACATTACGGACATGGGCATTTTCCTGCATACAACAATGGTGTGTGAAGTCACTTGTACAAACAATGCAAGAAATACTGATGGTAAGTACAGAGTGAGCAGTTCAGTTACACAGTAAACCTTCAATATTCCTGACTAACTAGAAGTGGGGGAAAGACTTGCAAGGAAAATCTGTATTTCTGGAATATCTAGATTGTGTTTCCCAGGGCATAAAATAAAACTATCTTCAGTACTACCATTTTCAATAAAATGTGCACAGTTGTATTGTGAACAATTACAACCATCCTGTTACTTAAATTTTCCATTAAACATGAAAAAGAAATACAGTGACAGATCAAAACATTCATATCTTAAGAGCAAACTAGAAGTGTAGCATGACACATTGGATACTCTAGTCAGTGTGATAATGATACATGTATTGTATGTTATTTTCTATATACCTCTTGTTCACTTTCAACAGACTCAACACTATCACTTGCCATGGTTAGGAAATAGGAAGCACTACACAAAAAATAGCACAGAAGAGGAATTACAGAAAAAAATTGGTAGTGTCTGATATAACCAGAGCAGCAGTAAACAGAGTATTGTACTGGGATACACATGCAAGCAATGATGGGCATCAATACACTAAATTGTCTTAGGCAATACCGATCGGTACTTTGTAGATGGTTAAAGCGATACCAATACATGTATCGCCGATACTTTACTATAAGAATAAAGAAATTCCATAATATGCATGACATGATTATGCTGGGGTAATAAAATTTAATCTTCTGGTGATGGTGTTCGTTTGTACACAAAAATAAATCCAATAAATTCTAATTTCCGCTCATTTTATCCCAAACATTGGACAATGGTTTTGGAAAAATCCCTAAATGGCACCTGTAAGCTGACGGGATTCAGCCCCCCCCCTCACCGATAGATCACTACATATACTTGTGGCATGATGGATGACTCATCAGTGATTAAAATGGAATAAAATCAAGAGGTTTACAGAGAAATTTTTGGATATACATGAAATTTCTGGAGATATACCACCATTTTACTAAAAATTAAAAAAATCTGGAGAAATCCAAACTTTTCTGGGTATCTGGCAACAAAATAAGAAAGGTGCGGCCGACAGCCGTCTAATATGCGTTCAGCTCGCCCGTCACCCTCACTAGCATATCACAGCCTCCAGCTGTAGTTCATAGTTAGAGGATGGGACACATTCATTGGCATTTATAGTTTGAGGATGCGACATACAAACAGAAATAATGAATAATGTACTTGTGTATTTTTACTATATGATATAAATGTAAATATTAGATCTTTCAACTATTATTTTTAATATAATTATATTTATGACAAAATACAACTAAAAAATAATGATGTACCATCCAACTTTTTGCAATTTATAAATCTATTACCGGGTAACTCTAAATTTCTCTAATAAGTTTTCATCTTTAATGGGAAAAGTGATGCCGTAACGTAAACACAAAGGTTTCCAATGGTGCTTTACACATCAGCTTCTCTATAAACACTATTGTTCTTCTCCATAATATACTAGCAATTCGTGGATACATTCTAAATGGATATGTGGCATCAGTAAATTGAGTATGAATGATTAATTAGACCAGATTAATTTTACAGTACTGTATTGTATACTGGATTGCTACAGATTTTTTTTATTTTTTTTTTAAATAATATATATATGGGTGAAATAGGGTCTGGGTTATCTACATTTCTGAAACAATGTAGACCAGATTATCAAGAGTATCTGGTACATTGTCAAACTGTGTAGTGCCACAAGTGAGGGAAGCCATTACCCTATAGACACTCAGTAATGTATTGCCACAAATACAGATACATATTCATGACACAAAATTATTTGTTTCTCCAATGCTACTGTTTGGAATGTGAACTACCAGCAGTAGATGATACTCACCTCTTCAACGTGAATGGAATCTATGTAGCCAGTTTAAATGTACATGAGGCAAAATTATTGAAAAGTCCAACAATCTTGAACAATGATGGCCTGTACTGTACACTGAGACACCCTGGTCCACCTACAAGCAAGTCCTCATCTCACCTCGCCAACCTTGTTGCTGCTCATATTTTATCTTCTATTGACTTATTTCACTTTGTTTCTCAATCTCTCAAGGTCTATCTACCTGATTCTTAACAATAAACCTTGTTTATTATAATAAGTATTTTTGTCATTATGTTTTCTTAAAGGTCTTAAAACATTAACTGTAGAGAAATACATACAGTGCAGTGCAGTGCTGTACTGTACTGTACTGCACTGTACTGTACTGTACTGTACTGCACTGCACATCAATGGCATTAGAATATATCATACATAATTATGATTACAGTAAGATCTCATATTTCGCGCGATTTCATTTCACATTTTTTAATTTCACGAGTGCTACCTAATGTAACCAAGTCTTATAGTTGGCATAAAATATCGTGAGTTTCGCGAGACCCAGCCAGCTGAATGCTGGCCACCGTCTTGAATGACGTCACAGCCCACATACCAGTTACAGTCATTTCTGCTACAAAGCATGTTTTGTCAACGCGAATTGGTTGTAACGCGATTGATGAAGAGGGAGGGACACTGTTTGTAAAACGCGAACTTTTGCATACGAATGTTGGCTAAAGCTCGATTCCATCCTCAACGTTTTAAGCGTGGTGCAGGGTTATGCAATGTTTACAGTTCACATTCGACATCACATGTTCAATTGATTCGTGTCTTTTGTTTGTGAAGTGTTTTATGAGAGTTACTCTGTAAATTTTGTTCTTTTTTTTCAAATTTAGCTGTTACCCATAAATACTGTATAAAAAGAACAAGTAAAAAGAATGTTTCGCAGTGAGGACTAATAACGGTTTACACCGGCAGTCTCTTTTTACATCACGTGATCAGTTGAATCGCGCGGTTTCTGTCGATTACTCCTTGATTTTCGCCGTTTTCTCCAACTTTGTTGTGTTAGCGATGAATATGGAAACAACCTTGTAAAGGATTGCCAACACGGTTTTATGCCGGGGCGCTCCTGCTTAACACAATTGCTCAAGGTATTGGATATTTGGACCGATATTCTGGAATGGGGTGGCAATATCGACAATATATACCTAGATTTTGCCAAGACTTTCTCCAGTGTACCCCACAAAAAGCTGAATATCAAACTGGAAGGGTACGGAATTCGGGGAAATGCCCTAGCGTGAATAGAAGACTTTCTACATGACCGCAAGCAGTGTGTGGTGATTAATGGCACGAAATCATCATCCGTACCTGTCACAAGCTGGATACCACAGGGCAGTGCATTGGTGCCCGCTGTTGTTTGTTTGTTTGTTTCATAAATGACATGCCTGACGTTGTACACTCCTCCATACAAATGTTTGCCGATGACGCCAAGTTATTTCGGGAAATCAAGAACCAAGCGGACTGTGAAGAGCTGCAGAAGGACCTCTGTGAGCTCCAAGAATGGTTGAAGAAATGGCTACTGATTCAATGTCACGAAGTGTAAGAGGATGCACCTGGGGCGAACCAACGGTAAGGAGGAGTATCATATGTCCCAACGGGATGAAGAAACTGCTCTATTTTTGACCGAATGTGAGAAGGACCTAGGTGTGTAAGTTGACAATGAGCTGAAGTTCTCGGGCCATTGTGAGAAGAAGGTAATTCAGGCAAATAAATTATTGGGTCTTATAAGAAGGTCGTTCAGCTATCTAGATGGTCCGTCCCTCGTAACCATCTACAAGAGTGAAGTGCTTCCCCATCTGGTCCCCGAGATATGCTAGGGACTGTCAGTTGGTTGAAAATGTTCAAAGGAGGGCCACCAGACTGGTGCCTCGACTCCAGCACCTCAGCTACCCGGAGAGATTGGAGTGCCTGAACTTGCCTAGCTTATACTACAGACGGGCAAGGGGGGACCTAATAGAGGTGTATAAGCATCTCAAGGGCACTACTCAGTTGAGTGTCCTTACTTGGAGCTGACAGACGCTCGCCCCACAAGGGGTCACAGCTCAAGATTAAAGAAGCCGCAAGTCCAGAAAACTGTGAGGGCAAACTTTTTCGGAATGAGAGTTGTGAACTCTTGGAACAATCTACCAGAAAGTGTTATGATTGCACCGAGTGTGAGCTCTTTCAAGATAAAACTTGACCAACACTGGAGCGGGTTCAGGTACATACAGGAGCCAGTGCATGCCCAGTACTTGCCAACACTGCGTAACATACGTGACCGATTGCCCAAGCGGCTAACGAGCCGATCAGTGGTGAAGAGGATAAAAGTGAAAGTAAGAAGCATTCTGGTTGACTGAATTGCTGGTGGTGAACGAAAGAGGTTTAGAAGAACACAACTATTGCGTTGTAGCTCGCGCCATCCTAGCGATCACCCGGAATGCAATTGTGTGCTTTTTTGGGTGGTGCTACCACCTGTCGAGTCAAGATAGTGGCTTCTACCTCTACTGGGGGTGCTGGTGGGGGCGGGACAGACCCACCTAAGCGGCCAAATAAAGAAAAGGAGAAGCGGGACTATCAAAAGGGAGTTAAGTTTGCCAAGTACTTGATGCAGGATAAGCAGCGTGTGATTAAGTTACTGGAAGAACGCCTAAAAACTAGTTTCCGGAAAGCACAATCAGGTCAATAAAGGCAGAATTTGTATCATTTGGAGGTTATAAATGGGAAAATCAGAGGTTGATGTAGAGTGGCCAGTGTATATTGTTATTTTTCCCATTACAGTAGTTTATGTATTTGTATTTGGCGAATTTGAATTTGGCACAATTTTTCCAGTCTTTATTACTTGCGAAATACAAGATCTTACTGTACATACAATTCAACTCAAACTAACAGCACATAACTGTCAAAAAACTTCAGATTTAGTTTATTTCTAAACTACTCACCTGCAATCCTTCTCGAGAGATCATACCGGTAGTAGAAATTATCTGCAGAAAGATGCCAGACTGAGACACTAATAACAAGTGAGTTACTTATAAATATACTATAATATCAATATTATTCCATTATTTTACCATATAAGTACAGTAATGTGTTAACAATACATCATAATTCCTTCTTATACCTATATACGTACCTAACAAAATAAGATGGTTTTTCTGTCATTATAATATTTTTTCATTTCAACCAAAAAAATTTTTCTTCAGAATAATTAAAGACTTAATACAGTACTCCCTCGCCATTGGGGTTATACTCTATAATTCTCCCACATGTGACAACAGCTGGGTCTAATGAGAAATAAGAGACTCCCGAGAGACATAGAATTAAGTACAGGGTGTTTGTTACACTGTTATTGGAAAAAAAAAATAAATAAATAAATAAATAAAAGCAGAGACATTCACTGTAGGGACCGGGGGTCATGCCCCCCCCCCCCCCTTCCCGGATCAAGCTTGTGTTATGGGAAAACCTTGTTTGGTTGGGTCAGGGGATTATTGCGGTTATTTTTTTTTTCCTCCTCTAAAGTTTCCTCCAGGTTGATAACTGAACCTAGCAGCTGGTCCTGTTCCCCTGTTAGACATTCCTTTTACAAATTTCTGAAAGGTCTTATTACTCCTGGGAACAGTAATATGAATAGCTTACTCAACAGTTGATTTATACTTAAATAATGCTTATTCCTCAAATAAAGCAGGAGAAAGAGGGGAAGAACGTAGCAGTAGATAAGTACTACCACTTGAAGAATTATGAGTTGTACAGGGAATATGTAATCCCTTGTATAGCAGCAGCAAAACATGTGTCTACTTCTGAACTGTCCTCACAGTCCAGCACAAACTTAGTCAACAACTGACACATCATGATTGCAGACCAAATATCCACTGCCAACTTCCTAAATTTGAATTCTTCAAGCAACAGTGCAGAAGCGACTGGTTTCAAATTTATTGCATGACTGATGTCAGCATATTTTGGAGCCAACAAATACTGGGAAAGTTCACATAAGAAACTCTTTTTTTTCATTAAATTGGAACTTCAAAAAACTATCTGAGGGAATGAATGTTAAGTCTTTCAATATATTAGCCCAGATTTCATCTATTTCAGAGATCATTTTTGGACAAATATCAGGCCAAGAAATTGTAGTATTACCTTCAAAAAACAATGAATGATGACCCACAGTTGCTTGGCCTTCCTGTCTCTTTGTAAGTGTCGAGAGATCAGGAAGTTTAGAAACATTTTCAAAAAATACCTTGAATAAGGAATCCACATATTCAGATGTGGTAGAAAACAAAGAAGACTTAGATCTTACCAATGTTACCCAAAGCCTGTTGTGATCATCCTTACACTCAATGTTATCCATCAGCTGATTGGCAGTCGACAGCAGCCTGTTTCCACTCATAGTAACCAACACTTTTGCTCCAGGTGGAAGTGGTTGCCAAAATGGGGACAGGATGAAGTCAGTCTCAACAGGTTCTCCCTGCTCTAGTGACTAAACACTATAATTAGAGCCAACTTCCTCATCTTTTTTATCCAGGAATCCACTAAAATTGGACTGACTAGGTAGAGGTACTTGCAACCTTCCTACTGCCTCATTATCTTGAATATCCAATAACCTACTTTTCTTAGCAGAAGCAGGTTGGTGTAACTGGGGATTAAGTCTCTTACCAATCACCAGGCCCGGATTATCCATTAGGCACAGTAGGCACAGTGCCTAGGGCCTACGAGATATTGGGGGCCTACGAAAAATAAAACGAGAACTTTTCTTCCCCTTTTTCTACAGGTTATTATTAAATTGATACTGAGGTACTTTTTTCCATTTATTTATTATTTAATCCTATTAGTGTCCACCAGCTAGCTGTGCTTCTTGTAAACAAAACTATTTCTGTACTGTACAAGAACAGCTGATCTAACCCATTTTCTTTTACTCAATTCATGGCAAACATCACTGAATCTTATTCTTTCGACATCACATTTTATAATTAGGTACTAGCTTGTGTTATTAGTGAATATGCTGTCAAATGGGGCCCCATATCTTGGAGGTGCCTAAGGCCTACGAAAGTCTTAACCCGGCACTGCCTATCACCCATAATTCTAAACTTTCTGCCAACTTGGGATCTTTTCTGCGTTATATTTAAAAATTTACTTTTTAAGGCCTTATCCTGTCTATTTTTAATTTGGATCTTCGATAATTCCTTCATATCTCCTGCAGCTTGATTAATTTAAAAAATTTTATCAAAGGAAACTGCACAATCCAATGGTGAAAACAAGTTGTCTGAAACACAGCAGCTATGATTTATGCAAGCAAAATGAGGATCTAAATTGGTAATCCAAGTGGCTCTACATCCTTCATAATTACATGTAGTATGGTCCCCTTGGGTCCTGGGTGAAACTACAGTACTAATACTGAATTCACATCCTCTACTGACGGACAATTCCTTGTATGTAGTGTATGAGATGAACTCCCCAATCCTTTTAGCTCATCACTCAACACTAGTTCCCCAGGAAAAGTTCCATGGTCTCTTCCATCATCCAGCAGTCCAGACAACTGTCCTTCATCCTCCACTTGCACATCACTAATCTAAATTAGAAGGAACACTATGAGTCACATTGTATCATCATAATAATACAAGGGAGATAACATTTTCTCCCAAACATAACCAATATGACTCGTAACTGTGTAATTTGAGCAAGTTATTTCATTTAATATCTCTTGTTATATGAGTCACCAGTGTGAAAATCATAAACAACTAACTTACTATGTCCTGAATGGTTCTTATTTAACCCATACTGGGGTCCACATTGCTTCACAGAAACAGAATTATTGCTTCTTCTCTCTCTATTCAGATCAAGAATCATCTGTTATGGTGGACAAATTTAGACAATCTAATCGGTTCATCTCCCTGGGTTCCCCCTCAAACAGACTTGGTTATTTGTACAGATGCGTCCAAAATAGGATGGGGAGACCATTCCTCAAAACGAGAGTTCTGTCAAGGGAAGTGGAGCAACTCCCTTTAGGGCAAACACATAAACGTAAAACAATTAGCAGTAGTCCTATTCTTTTTGTTGGCAAACACAAATTTAAAAAACATGACGATTCTGTTTGCCATGGACAACAGAACGACAGTGTTTTGTCTCAATCATCAAGGCTCAACCAGATTTTGGCCTCTTCTAAAACTGTCAGAAATTTTATAAAAGTTTGTGTAACACAAACACTTTACCTCAAAGCAACTCACATACCGGGAGTATAAAACAATTGAGCAGATGCATTGTCCCATCTCAGGCTTAATTGCACCATATTGGATCCTACAACCTTCGTGACTGGATCTGTTGGACTGGTGCCCGCATCCACTACAATTGCAACAGGGATCTCTAGACCAGGTACTGCATCCTCAGTTCGAGATATCCTTGGCACTTCACGCTTGGAGTTTCTCAAAAGATGTTTAAATAGATTGTTGGGTAATTTCGATATAGTTAACCAAGTAATAGCAGGTCATAGACCCCAAACTTCTATGCAATATGAGAAAGCTTGGAAACTTTTTCAACAATTTATCAGGTTAACGACTCCAATCACATTGTCGGAAACAGTGGTGTTAGAATTTTTAGATTTTCTGTTCAGAGTTAAAGGGCTTCAAGGATCGACAATTGCATCTCATAAATCAGCATTGGTTGACCCTCTGGCTTGGGGTTTTAATATTATTTTGAACTCAAGAATTTATCAAATGCTCAGATCGTCCTTTTTTACTCAGAGACCCCCTCGACCTAAGAGAATCCCACCTTGGTCTCTAGATAAAGTTACTAAATTTCTTAAGGGGCCTAATTACAATATAAATCTGAACAAGGACAGATTGCTCCAGAAGGCAGCCTTCCTCCTAGCAATAGCAACAGGTATGATAATCAGTGAACTGATTTCAATTTCCAATAATCCATCATTATTGGTATTTTCTGAGGAAGATGTCACCCTTTTTCCTCCGGAGATCCGAAGAAAAAATGAAAGGGAGGATTTTCAAGCTCAACCTATCAGGATAAAACTGCTAATGGATGAGACAAGGCTTCCTCAATATTGTGCCCAGTTAAGAATCTTCAAGAATAATTAACCAGATTCCCCAATCGAGGCCCCTATGTACTCTCATCACAGGATGGTAAGAAATTGTCTCCTAGTCAATGACAAAATATTTATCTCAGTTAGTGAGTCAAGCAGACCCTGGCAAGAAATTTTTGGCATGACACCAGGAAATATGCAGGGTCTGTGGCCTTTCTGTGGAAGATGCTTCACATGTGATAGTGCTGGGGTCTCCTCCCCCACCTAGTTAATCTCCACAACCAGGACCTTCTTCTTTCTAATCAAAGTAAAGTGAGTATCCTAATTGTGATATGTAAATTAACATTTTACCTTCCGGTAAATGTTCCTAATATTGGAAAATATTCCAAAAAAGTTTATAATTATAATCTGGACCTAAGATAGCGGAGCCTCATACGCAATGTCACCTCCTGCTCGGGTAATCAAAGCTAGACGTCGCATTCTGGATCGAACAAAAAGCAGATTTTTTCTTAAAACCAGTTTTTGTGATATACTGTAGTCCAGAATGAACTGTCGACATCCCACCCATCTCCACCCTTCGAGAGTTGACATTTGTTTACTGCTCGCTCTAGGGCAAGAGATGACGGTGGCAATGCGTGTGATGGAGGGTGCAGGAGGGGGTTTTGAGAATTGCAATTAAATACCAGGTAGCGATGTGTCCTCCTAATATTACGTAATAAGTAGGGCCCGGATAGTTATGCACTAAAAAACCATGAAATATGCATGCAAATATGCACTAAAAACCAAGGGAAATATGCATTTATATGCACTAAAAATGTCACTTATAAAGCCAAGAATGCAGGTTATACGGAAACAAAATAGTTAATATAAACTAATGTTAATGTTTATTAAGCAATATACGTAATGTATTTAACATATATATGTGAAAGTGCTTCAAAAAATATATATGAACATGTATTTACATTATAGACTGACTTACTGGAACATGCAAGAAGTAGTTGTTGCTCCTTTTGTGCACTATTGGACTTAACAGCTTCGAGTCGGATGTGCTTGCTTGTTTTAAGGTGTTGTTGGACTTGAAATTTCTTGCTCGCTGTCACTGGTGCTTCACAATATTTACAAAACAGTACACTTCCATCAGTAGTAAATGCATCAAATTCCTTTACATATGATCTCAGCACTTCATTTTGGTTTCTTTGTACTTTCGGCATTTTCACGAGCAGCAGAAGAGAGTAGCTCCACACAGCAGCACTGCTCCTGACTGACTAACTCACTAGTCCAATGAGTCATGACCAGGTGTGGAAACGACAGATTTAAGCGACGTGACCTCACCTCACTTCACCTAACCACACCTCACCTCACCTCCCAGTACCACGTGTGCTCATTCAGTGGCAACAAAGAGATACTGCCAGATGAATATTTTACCAAAATATGCATTTATATGCAGTTATCTAGGTAATATGCACTTATCATAGAAATCACGCAAAATATGCATTTGCATATGAAATATGCAAATGCATAACTATCCGGGCCCTAGTAATAAGTAATTATTAGATGTTTTAATTGCCTGTATGTTGGCCTGGCGAGTTAATGCTAGGCATTAACAAACCTTTGTATAAAGCTAGATGCCGCATTCTGGACTATATCACAAATACTGTTTTTTTATAGAAAAAAAAACGGCTTTTTTTAATTAATTAAATGTAATAATAATGTGTTTAAGTAGGCATTAACATAGTTTTAATTCTGGAGTTGGGCTAGATAGAATTTAGCCTACTGGAGTAAGTAACTGGGGATTCATTAGCCTACTGTATGGGAGACCACAACCTCACATTTTATATACTGTAAACTATGGTAATTGTTTGTATACAATATGATTGTTCTATACTTTTTTACTTTTTTTTAGTATTACAGACAACAAATTATGTAAATATAATTGTAATATTTACTTTATAAAGATAGATTGTTGATCACCGTTATAAATACTTACAAACGATTTAAAAACATTAAAAATTTTCGTAGCATAAAATAAAATTTTTACCTACTTTTGCTTTTAATCATGCCTGGAAGTTTGGTGTGAGTTTTAAACCAAAACATGCACTGATGGACCTGATAATGAATTTTTAGTGATTAGCTTACTTTAATTTATCCTCTTTGATTTTTAAAGATATATGCATATCTATACACTAGTAAAAGTATTTTGGATGTTGCAATATGCATTATCCATGCTCCAGTGTTAGAGGTTTGTATGATGAAGGCCTAAGCATAGTAGATGATGCCAAATTGTTGTCTGAACAACATATACAGGTTGACCATCTCAAATTCGGACTGATTGGATCCTGAGCAGTGCCGGATTAGCGATTTTGCCGAACCACAGGTGGTTAGGTTAGGATCAAATAAATAAACACCTTTAACCCACTTCATAACCACCTCACCCTACCTTTAAAATACTCTGTAAATAATACAAGTTGGATAATAAAAAGAAGCAGCCACTGGACTCTCAACTGTCAACAGATGTCAGCATTGTGGTACACTGAACCTTCTCTTTATGATCATTCACTGTATACGAATTCACGTTCTTGCGACGGCCCTATTTCTTCCCATAATTCATTTTATGTGGAAAAGATCCCTATTATGCATATCTACAGAAGATATGACACAAAAGTTTTATACAGTATTATTATTATATTATCTTTATTTTTAAGCCACATTAGTGTATTTTGAATTATTTTTCCACAACTTTTACAGCAGTAATGCTCTAGAAATGGTTGTGAAATGTGGCACAGTGTGTGTGTGTGTGTGTGTGTGTGTGTGCACTGTGCTGTATGTGACGTCACGGGACGCGGCTGGAGTGGTGAGTCAGACACTCCACACACTTACACTTTCTACACAAACACCCATGCTCTTCATGTCTTAGTTTATAGTTTTATATAATATTACCTTTATTTTTAACCCACATTAGAGTATTTTAATTATTTTTCCACAACTTTTATAGCATTACTGTTGAGTTTTAGTAGTTGTGGAAGCGCCAATGTTGTACACGTCACTTATGCTGAGAACAGACACACCACTGTTGAGTTTTTTGAGAAGTTCAACCTTACCTTGTACAGTATAGACAACGTATGGTGTTTGTGCTTTACACCACGAGAAGCACTTCCATTATTCAATGAAGACCTGACTGGGGCTAAATAAGAGCAGTTTATAATAAAAATTAAGAAAAACACAGGAATAACTTGTTGCCCCTCAAACACCGTGCCAACAGCTGAGTCTGCTAGTGGCACCACCAAAACAGTAGCGGCGGGTTGGCGAGGAGACCAGAGCGAAATTTGAAATTACGGTGGCCAAATTATGTCCGAACCAGCGGTGGAACCGGATTACTGATTGCCGGATATGAGGTGGTCTACCTGTACCACACAAAAAGTGAACGAAGTGAAAAATTTGACACACCTGATCCAGCAAATATTTCTGCCACACTGGAAACTGTGGTTGGCAACATAGTGCACCAAAAATAAAACTATGGATTCTCAAACCTCATGTGGTAACCCATGGCTGATGAAGGATTACTGTATTCTGAAATAAATGACTGACCCCAATCAGCTGGGCAGGCTGTCCTGACGATGACATGACCGTCATTATCAACCTGGGTAGCACACCATGGCACATCTGCATCACGGTATATACATGCATAGAAGGCCTTCTCCTGGTACAAGAAAGGAAAGACACACCGATTCCCAGATAATGCTCTGACCAGTCGCATGCTTCCTGAAAGTAAAAAAGTAAAAAGTATACCAAAATGGGGAGTCTTAGAAGCTGGCAACCCTTAACAATAATTATAATTATCCTATCTAGTTTCTATTTAATGTCCTCAATTATTTTGGACCATCTTTAAAAACAGGAGCAACTCAATGGATGGTTTAATGCCCATTTTCAAGTTTGAAACTAATACACACACAAAAGTAGACCCCTACATACAGTATAAGTAATGACTATAATCCTCTTGGTAAAAACTGACTTTGGCTATAAAGAAAATCATGATCAAACTCACGTATGTAAAATTCTTTGGTGGTGAAGGAAGGGACGTAAGCAGGTGCAAGTTCCAAGTCCCTCACCCCTTGGTCAAGGTCTGCAGTGAACATTTCAGTTTATAACCTCTGCCATGCTGCATGCTCTCATGGCTCCACTTACCATGTACTACTGTCATTATACATACATATGACACATCTTGTCCAGACAGATAGGAAGGGGTTAATGGTATATCTCTAACTCTGAAATACTTAGGGTTTATGTGTATGAAATATCTTTTGAGGAAAACAAGTATGGTTAACTGATTTTACTGAGGCACTTAAGATTTGATCTCAGTGTCTTCAAGTTATGAAGAATTAAACTTTATTGATAAAACATCTGGAAAGAATCAAGACTGGTTAGTTTAGTCTGTTGGGTCACTTAACACCCAGTAATACTTTTTAAGTAACATGACCAATAACTTAACAACTATATTATGTTCAATTTAAAGGCAACAGTCCTAATCATTATGGTTGAATTGTTAACCCTTAAGCCCAGGTTAGGGTACTGCTGGTATAACGTGCTGTGGGTAAATTGAGAAAAAATCAACCTTAAAAAAAGAAAAAAAAGCCAGGAATAGGCGGAAGTTCTGGAACGTCACCCAGGGCCTAAGGGTTAATGTTTATGTCTACAGTATGTCACAATGTCTTTTTTTTATGTTCTTTTCACAATGTCTTACATGAAGTTAATGTTTGTCACAATATCTTACATAATATTAACACTCTTGTAGTTTAATAATACAGTGACTCTGGTGTGACTGTTCTGGTCCTTTAAAGAGTTGTCATTGATGGATGAATACACAAATTATCATTATCAATACACACAAATGGAAATAGTTTTATCGTCCCCATTCAGACCATTAAGAATTGTAGAAAAATCCCATAAACATTAAAAATAATTTAAGAAAAATGAACTTATTTTTGAAAGTACATATGAAAATGGGGAAAATAATTTGGCTGTGAAAATCTGAAGCTACTTTCAAGAAGAGATCACAAGGCTTAATACCCTCTTTATATGAAGACCAAGAAACTCAAGTGTTCTATATGTGAAGATTATGAATTTTATATTAAGTTTCTGAATCAATAAAGTTAACTTTGAAGTCCCTGTCATGTCTAATATTGAGTACTGGATCTGACAATTTAACATAAACAACTTTAAAACTTCTAGTAAATTCCCCTAATCAAAAGGTCTTAGGATGGAGCTTATTAAATCTACACAAATACACCTGTACTATGTACTATAGCATCTCATTGCATTATCTTACAGTAAGAATTAATGCAGAAGTCATCCTTAAGGATGGTGCCATTGGTGTCAACATTGGTAGCACACCAAAGAGCCTTATGTCCTCTCTGGATGCAGGTGTAGTACTGTTCACCATCATACATGAAGGGGAACATACATAACTTGCCAGTCTTGGTCAGCGTTGTGTGTTGGTATCCTGTGGAAGAAACTAATGCTATTACCGACATATAATAACCTACAACCAAACATCTAGTCAACAGTCTTACTTTTACTATTATCCTCTTCGCCACTGATCGGCTCATTAGCCGCTTGGGCAATAGGTCATGTCTCTGTTACACACTGTTGGCAAGTACTAGGCATACACTGGAGGGACAGTCTTCTCCATTCCAATCCATCCATACAACACTCTCAACACATTTGTAATCAATTCTTACACAACTCTACTTACAAACTTAATATACCTTTACATAATTCTACACATTAACATATTCATACACCTCAGCCACATAAGTAAAACTTATTGCAACATTTCAGAGTTGTTTCTTCAAGCTACAGTAGGCCATCAATTTATGGTGGGGATACATTTTGAAAATCTTGTGTAAACAAATTAATACAAATAAAACTAAATTTCTTAGGAGATAAAAGTTGCATTTCTGGGTTTCAAGATGGGTTGACCTTGAAATCCCATCTCATAACTAAGGGTGAAATGTGTTGTTACTGCTCTTACTGTTTGGATATCTTTGAAAAACACCAAAACTCTTAACATATTGTTTGTGAAATTTTTAAGATCCTTATAAATGGGTCTTACAAATAGGTGTTGCCATTAAGAGTTGATGACAAATGAATTTTGACATTATGTCAACATTCTTATTTAAAAAATCCAAAACAACCTCACCCACAAAATGGAGCCCTTGAAGAATTTTCCAGTGTTCTATAAAACACAGAAGATAGCTCAGAATATGTTCGATAAAAGAGATAATGTGCTGCATGCAAGTCTGCATCCTGTATAAAAAAACAAAAAAACAAAAAATCCTGAATCCTATTCCAGAGACAGTAGGGTCGGGATATATCGCGAGATTGGGTCCAACGATGTTCGCTATATACTAAATCATGATATATAATTACATGTAATCAATTGGGAAAATAGGGTTAGGTTCTGGAGGCCAATAAAAGTGACTAAACTTGACTTAACGAGTTCATTTTCTTACTATCTAAAGCACCAATGAACACTAGACTCGGGAACAACAGGCTATTTCAATATCAATGAACACCAGACTTGGCAGCTGACGCACCATCCTGGAAACACCAGACGCCACACTGCCGCCCTCACTTGACAATCCCACATCTACGTACTGGGGAAAACGAACACCAAAAATATTAGTTACAGAATTAAATCTTTTCCATTAAGCTTTCCATTATCTTCACTTCACTTTTCACGTCACTACCAACCCATTTACACTCGTTTTAGAAATTGGAATCTGCACCAGACTCGGCAGCTGATGCGCCAACCCGAGAACAATAGATGACACACTGCCACCCTCACTTAACAATAAAAAACGAACAAACCTTAAAATATTAGTTACGGTATTAAATCATTTCCATTAAGCTTTCCATCATCCTCACTTCACTTTTCACGGCTCCAGTTATGGCTGGAGGGCATAATTAACCTTGAACTACTACCAGTCATTATGTTTTAGTAGTTTCCTGGGTTAGAACCTCACAAGGTTATCAGCAGTAAGAATACAAGTCTTCCAGTTTGGTTGGAAGTTATAAACCTTGCTACTACTTCCCAAGATCTTACCTTTCATAAACAAACAAAATAGCTTTAAAAGTCATAAATAATAGATAGTCTTTCAACCCTACACATTGTTGTTTTGTATTTAGTAAACATTTTCACATGGAAAATAAGCATAACTGTATACAGTACATGTATTGTCCCACACATGCACACAACCCGATACTTGTTCCAGTCTTTTCATTGGTGGCATTGATTGATTGCTTCCTATTGGTCCAAAAATAGATGCAAAGAGCTATGAAGGTCTTTTGCCTTACTTTGAAGTCACTACAGGACACCTGGATATACTGCTGACATGTGTCAAAGACAGTGAGTTTATAAAACTTAAAACTTCTACAGTAGATACTAGTTCTCATTAAATTATTATTTTGAAGGGGTAAATTCGTTTCATTATCTACATACAGTAAAAGTCCAAAAATCCGGATGCCAGAAATCCGGACCACCCGAGAATCTGGACTTTTCGAAAACTATTTTTTTTTTGGGGGCGGGCTTTTGTGTGTATATGCGCATGTGTGAGCGCCACAGCTGCACAGCGACAACAAGCGACCACGTGGTCGCCACTTTAAAATGAGCAATCAAACTGTGACAACATACCGTATATACTCATCTATAACCCTCCCTCATTAATCGGTCGACCCTGATTTTTTGACCAAGAAATCGTTAATTTATGATATTCCTCGTTTATAGTTCGACCCACGTTTTCGAGGGTAATGGAACAACAAAACCTTCAGTAAAAACACTCTACGTCCTATAAACTGAGGCTCGCCGTGCCTGAAACACGAGTGCCGAAGGCAAATTGTTTACCATTTATTATTACGACACTTTACACTGAAACGTGGGTAGTTTCAACAAAATATTGTGTATTTCCATTCAAGTATTGATTCAAGTCAATTAGGAGGGAATATTATTGTAATACAACAGTTTTTTAACTAAACCATTCGAAAAGCGATTACGGTAACATCTTTTGAACGAAAGAAAGCGAAAGTCATTGTTTTCGTCACGTTTTTATCCCACTTTCCACTGTAATACGTACGTAATTTCAGCAAAAATATTACATTTCCGTGAATGTATTATATCAAGCACAGTATGAATAGAATATCATTGTAATATAACAGAATTTTAACCGAAAACTATTAAAAAAACGAGTAACATCTCAAGAACATCGGAAGCTTAGGTGAAGTCTTTTGTTTTCGTCATGTATTTATCCTATTTTACATTGAAATACATCACGTTTCAGCAAAACTACTATTTATTTCCGAGAATATATTCATTCAGGCCCAGTTTAGGTAAAATATACGTGTGATGTAATAGTTTTTTAACTGAAAACGATTCGAAAAACACGTATCCTCTAGCCCTGTTCAAGGAGAGGACTGGGAGAAGCTGTTTGGTGCTGCAGACGATGACAAGGAAAATGATTTTGATGGATTTTAATGAAAATATTCAGAAATATGGTATCATAGTATTTATTCAAGTCAATTAGGATAGAATGTTATTGTAATACAACAGTTTTTAACTGAAAACCATTCGAAAAGCAATTACGGTAACATCTTTTGAACAAAAGAAAGCAAAAGTCACTGTTTTCGTCACGATTTTATCCCACTTTCCACTGTAATACGTATGTCATTTCAGCAAAAATATTACATTTCCGTGAATGCATTATATCAAGCACAGTATGAATAGAATACCATTGTAATATAACAATATTATGAGTCCTACTCTTTCCATTTTCACAGTACTGTACAAGCCCATAATAATGGCTCCTAAAGTAGATAAACTTCGTTGTGTGAAGAGAAAGAAGAACACGTTGAAATTGAGTGACAAACTTGAAATAATTAAGAAACTAGAACGTGGTGTGAGCAGTACTGTTCTAATGGAAACATACGACATTGGAAAGTCTACAATTTATGATATAAAAAAGGCAAAGAATAAAATTCTAGAATTCACAGCTTTTTCATTAAAACCGCTTGTTTTGATAAATGAAGCAGATGTAATGGGCCCCTGTCTCATCAACAGAACATATTATATAAATGGGTCAATACATCTGATATTATATTCAGATTCACCACCCATGTAACTTTCCACTGTCTATGAGTATGACATGAGTTGTACACGTGAGCGGGCAACTCTCCCAGGAGGGAGTGATCCATAGTCAGCATTTCTGTAAGCCCGCACAGCGAGGCCCTCACTCTTTAGTCGCTCACAACAATTTATATCGTAAGGACGTGACCAAACGTTTATAAAACATAAACGCCGTCCCTTTCTCATTCACTCCTATACAGTGGGACTTACGGTCGATCTACACTCAGGAAATATATATATACAACCCTTTTATAATAAAACAAGGAACTACCGTTTGGGTTTCGTTACTTAAACCCAAATAATAAATATATGTGAACGGCCTGGTTAATTGCACAAGCAGCCGATTCACATGCTATATTTGCTAATGAATAAACTATCAAAATGTACCTGTTCATCTCTTCTTTATTCCTCCTTAAATTTGAATTTTAAAAGTACTGCCTGAGAATCCGGAAAATCCGAAAATCCGGATCGACCCAATCCCCAAGCAGTCCGGATTTTTGGACTTCTACTGTAACATGTTTTTATAATTTGTAGTATCAAAACTTGCTTTATAGCAATATTATAAGATTCATTTTTTTTAGACAGAATTAAGTGTTCATTCTTTTTGCTAATCTGATATGGCAACAATGTATTCAATCAATCAATCAGAGAACCGTCCTCATATCTGAGGGTTGGCGACCAATCCTCGAAGCTTTAGTATCTCTCTGGGGACCCAGTTTTTCATTTCATCCATCCATCCCTGTCTCTGCCTTCCCCTGACCTTCATGGGTTAAAAAGTTAATGCTCTAAAGACAAAAGTAATGGTTGTTTCCAAATTGGAAATAAATCCTAGAATAAAAATTATGATAAACAACAGGGAATTTAAAAAAATGGAAAAATTTTTGTATTTGGGAAGTAACATTATCTGTGATGGTAGATGTATGAAAAAATATAACAAGAATAGGTAAAGGAAAACAGCATTTAATAATTAAATCTAAAAGACCTAATAAAAAGGGACATTGACTTTAAATGAGAAGGGTATCCTGTACTATATACAGTACTGTATATGGTCAGAACTGTCAGAAGCGTGGATTATTTCAGTAGACACCAGAAAGAGGTTAGAGAAGTTACATTAACAGGAAAACAAATGAAGTAATAAGGTTATGAAAAACTTGAAGATAAATACTGTACTTGATATATGCAGAAAAAATAAATGAGATAATGTACTTTGGTCATACTGTTTAATTAGGGAAGAGGGGGTAGTAACAGAAATGTTAATGTATTCAATACTGGACATTAAACCAAAAGAATTAATTAAATACTAGACATTACATGCACTTACCAAGATCAAAGAGCACAACTTCCTTGTTTAATGTATTTTGGGTGTTAACTTGTTTAATGGCACATTTAACATAAGACTCCTCACCAAAGGTTGAAGGCTTTGGCTCTTTATATCTGAAGGAAGACTTGCATTCATTTCCATGCACTGTTAGTATCACCTCCTCGGCTCCTATGAAAAGAAATGAGAATACTGTATTGCAAGATGAAGAACAATAAGAGTTTAATTGAAGATCTGGATGTAAAACCCAAACCCTTCAACCTAAATACACATTCATAACAAATAATTACACTTACACTGTACAGTAACTTATAACAAATATAGGATGACATCAGTCTATTATATTCTTAACTCACACACACCTAACCTTTTTAGTGATAAACCTAGCAAGCATTTGTGCGCATCAAGCTAACGTAAGTCAGAACTAGCTAATTGCAGATACAGTATACTGTACAACAATTCCTGCCTAATTTGTAAGGTAAAGGTGCGTCCACACAGATGTACATTTTGTCGCCAACATGTGATCAACAAGAGGAAACACCGATCTAGTGCACTCGGTCGCACCCTACCAGAGTCGGAACCCTGTGCCTCATTTCGTCTTGTCGCTCACATGTTGGAAACAAAATGTACGCACATGTTGGCGCATCTTAACATTCAAAGTCCCCATGAACTGTCAATATCACCAATTATAAATAACTTACAGGGTGCAGGTATAAGGGTTAATCTAGTTCGGTTAAGTTTGAGGATCAATATGCTTTGGGCTGAAGGGCATCTTAAATTTATACCATGGGGTGTTGGGTCGGAAATATTTTGACCGAAACACATCTCAGCTTTTAACACAGGATCCTAAAGGAAAATGGATCCAATGGAACATTTTTTTTTTAATGCTAAGCAAGACATTACTACTGTATACCCCTCCATAGGCAATAACATGGACTCTTTCTCTATAAAACCTTACCCCAGAGAGCACTGACACAGAAATCAGTGGTGTTCACCAGGCCTGAGGGAGTAACGGAGGTAGCACACCAGGGGCGGTCCTGCCCAATGGAGGTGCAGGAGTGGTATACATGGCCCTCATGGTAAAATGGGAAATAGCACCGTTCTCCACCCTCTGTTGCTATCACCTTCATCTTACCTGTGTATATAGAGAATATCAGGGTTGGCCAATTCAAACCAATGGTTTAAAGCAAATGGTTTAAACCATTTTTTTTAATCTGTCTTTTTGTTGGGTTTAATGAATATTTTGTAGGGTTAAATAAGTTTTTGTTGATTTTATCAAGTTTTGTTGGTTTTAATATTATCTTCCTTTTTTTAATAAGTTTTGTTGTTTTTTATTACTTACAGATAGTTTTAATGACTTATAGTAGATTTGGAAAGGCATGTAATAGGGTGAACAGAAAAGCACTGTGGGAGGCATTACAAGTGTAAGGGGTGGGAGGAAGGCTATTAAATGTAGTAAAAGCATGATATGAGAACAGCAGGACAACAGTAATAGTGAAATATTTTAAATAAACGTGGGTGTTAGACAGGGATGTATTATGTCCCCATGGTTCTTCAGTATAGACATGGATGTGAACTACAGGTTGACAATCACTTATCCGAAATCCTTGGGGCCAGAGAAAAAAAATATTGTTTTTGACAGGAGATCATGTGTAATGGCAAGGAACATACTATATAGTATATGTGTAAGAGCTGGGACTATCAAAATAGGTTCCTGTCAGCTTTGTATATCTAGCAACTGCACTCTTAATTATCCCAAAGCTCATGTAATTCTGGATGTGTTATGTGTCTTTGTGTTTATCCCTCCCCATGCTGTGCTACTGACCCACCCCTTGTGGAGGAACATGAGATAGTGCATGATCATCCACTGGGGCCTAGGCCAGCTGCACCCCTACCAAATTTTAGCTCTCTATCTTCTAAATTATGGAAATACATAAGGAATTTACACACTGTATATAGAAAAACATGATATATATTTTCTTGAATATAGTCTCCACGAGTGGTGGGTGAAAAATCGTTCCACCGATAATGCTAGAGAATGATGACATATGAAGGGTCATATAGCAACGTGTGATGGGCAGCCAAAGCATGGTGAAGGAGTACCGTAAGGAAATGGCATCAAATCCTTCATAAGATAACTTCATTACAAGCTAACAAATTAACCAACAGACATACAGCATGGGTGGCAACAAATACACATGAACATGTCTAAGCTAAGGGGTAATTATTATTTAAAAAAAAGGTTAGTTCAAGGCTGCTGGAAAGTCACTCTACAAAGAACATTAACCGCATGACACCATGATATTTATAAAAATGACCATCAATTACACAACATTTGTCAATAAGAAAAACTTTCAGGGGTGTCCTACCCATATCAGCAAAGCAGATAGACCATGTAACCAAGATGCCGTCAGGGGTGACTTCTGTGGCACACCAAGGCAGGTAATGGAAAGCAGTGGTGCAGGAGAAGTACCATCTGTTCTTATACTCAAAGGGGAACTTGCAGTCCATGTCTTTCTGTATTGTCTTATTATAGCCTAAGACATGATAACAGTGAAGTATTAGTCACCTTAAATACTGACATATGTTGTCAAGTTTTGCATAACTGTCAAGATGTTTCTTTGTTGTCAAATACGTACATCCTTCTATAAAAAAGTATAGTATAACTAAGATAATAATAATGAAATAAATACACCATATCTCACCACATTTTACTCAATTAACTTTTAGAGCATAGAAAATAATACTGATAAGAAAACTGCTGAAAATTAGAGAAACAGTTACGAACTGATACGAACGCCAGCTGCAAATTTTGCCAGTGAATCCCTCAGGGCAGCGGCATACATTGGGAGCAACACAACGGCCACCATTGAAGCAGGGTGGCCTGCACACAGGGTGGCAGGCAATGTGGAAAAGAGAGTGAAAGGCCTGAGGGAACTGCCACACTCCATTCTTGCAAGACAATATCAAAGACGTGTTTCTGGTGATAAGCTCATATCCTGCATCACACCTAATGGTGTACTGATTCATTTCTGGTGAACTGAAAATTAAGAAAGAAAGTCAAAGTGATAATCTATGCAAAACCAAATATATAATTATAAATATCAATATGTATGTACAGCCTTGAATACTGTGTCCTGGGTTCAATCCCCAGGTCAGATGTAAGAAGGGTGTTATAAATGACAGTGAACTAAAATTCAAATTTAATTTCATATTTGCCCTTAAGCTACAGATCAGAAACTATCTGTGTCAATGTGAAAACTCCGTTAAATATTGGTAATAAATTAAATACACATGTATCTTTTGTTTAACGATCGTTCAGGTTGCGATTTAAAATTTTTAACACCCTTTCTCATTTAACAATCATCAATTTTTTGTTTAACAATCTTTGACTCAGTGGGAAAATTTGGGGAGAAAGTCAGAAAAACTGGGATTCTGTGCTCCAAGTGTGCATCATTACACTACTGTAATGTGGCTTAGAAATAAAGAAAATACTGTGCTGTATGCTGTATACAGTAAACAGTACAGTACAGTAATTTATAGTTTTATAGTACAGTAGAAGTCCAAAAATCCGGACTGCTTGGGGATTGGGTCGGTCCGGATTTTCGGATTTTCCGGATTCTCAGGCAGTACTTTTAAAATTAAAATTTAAGGAGTAATAAAGGAGAGATGAACAGGTACATTTTGATAGTTTATTCATTAGCAAATAAAGCATGCTTCATTTATCAAAACGAGTAGTTTTAAAGAAAAATAAAGTCAACACAAGACAAAAATGTAAACAAACTGTCTAATACCATGACGAGTCTTGAAATTTCTAAGCCATCCATCACTAAATGCGCACTCTGATTCAATGTTCACTTGCTCCTTAAAAGACTTTGCTTTGGCAATAAGCATCGGCCCAGAAATTGCCATACCTTCTAATCGTTTTAACAAAAACCATTTGTGCAACACTTTATCAAGATTTTCTAACTTGAGCCAATGTAAACTTTTTCTTTTAGCAATTTTAATGTAGGGCTCAGAAGCTGTGAATTCTAGAATTTTATTTTTTGCCTTTTTTATATCATAAATTGTAGACTTTCTAATGTTGTATGTTTCCATTAGAACAGCATTGCTCACATTACATTCTAGTTTCTTAATTATTTCAAGTGTCACTCAATTTCAATGTGTTCTTCTTTCTCTTCACACAACGAAGTTTATCTACTTTAGGGGCCATTATTATGGGCTTGTACTTTGTACATGGAAAGAGTAGGACTCAAAATTACATACGTTGTCACAGTTTGATTGCTTGTTTTAAAGTGGCGATCGTGTGGTCGTTTGTTGTCGCTGTGCAGCTGTGGCATTCACGCATGCACACACACACAAAAGATTTATAGTGCCTCAAATTTTACATTTCAGTTCAAGCTAATTACAAAACTAACAAAATTAGCTACCTATAATTTACAATTACTTTTATTATTAGAATTATGTAAATTAATTTTTTAAAGCAACTCCATTCATTCACATAACCCACAAAAGCCCGCTAAATTTAAAAAGTTTGAGCTTTCGAAAAGTCCGGATTCTCGGGTGGTCCGGATTCCTGGCATCCGGATTTTTGGACTTTTACTGTATACAGTACAGTAATTCATAGTTTTATAGTATACAGTACAGTAATTTATAGCTTTATAGTATACAGTACAGTAATTCACAGTTTTATAGTATACAGTACAGTAATTCATAGTTTTATAGTATACAGTACAGTAATTCATAGTTTTATAGTACAGTATACAGTACAGTAATTTATAGTTTTATAGTAAATACATATCTTGTAGTCTACTGTAATTTGAAATCGGAGAGGGACACAGTGATAAGCAAATTATATAAACCATCCATTTACCCATACTAACATAATAATAAATATTCTATCATTACTAGAGTGAATGAAACAATTTTCCCAAAACACCAAATGATAACTCTTGGGCACCTGTGTCCCGCACACTGACGCCTTGGTCCCTGGTAATTTTGGCTCAAGGCGGACATATCTGAGGACAAAATAATGTTGTCCAACTTTCTTTTTTTTTTAATTACTGTATTTTAATTTTTGAATTATTTTTTGGCAAATAATTTTGTCCGTTTTTTTTTTATATACAGTATAGCCTGGTTTACGTGGATTTTTTATACGCGGTTGGTCATTTACGTGGCACCTGTCCAGACGCGCCAATTATTAGTTACGCAGTACATTCCTGAATTTACGCGGGAAGCGGCGCGGACAAGCTGCGTGCTAGGTCGCTCTTATGTCACCGCTGACGTCAGAGGACGTTTCGGACTGATTGGGCCACGCATCCCCTCCGCCGCGAGCTGTGATTGGTCTATTTAACTTTACTTGCCCAGTCAACCAAACATTACCGAGTTCTTCACCTGCCACCCACCACAGCCAGCCCAAGTCAGTGATAGTGAGGATATGGACTTATATGGACTTTGAGGGGTTTGACAAGGAGGCCCTCTGCTAGCCTCTGTGGTGGATAGTGATACAGGTGATACAAGTGACACAGTTGAGGGCCAATAATCTGCCCTTTGCCTCGGAACCAACCCCCCATCCCCGTGTGCCCAGCCATCTCTTCTACTAACGTAAGTGTTAAAAAACCTAATATTATTGATATTTCTCTTAAATATTGTGTGTGCATACCATCATAAAATTAAGATGTTATTTTTACTACAACGTACGTATTGTGTCGGAAAAAGGGTAGTCTGGCGGTCGGCCCAGTATCTATTTCAATTAATTCCATATGTTCTGTTATTTCGTTTACACGTTTCGCGTTATACACGGACCTCCATGGGTTTAATTGATCGCGTAAAATGAGACTATACTGTGTGTGTGTGTAAATATATATATGATAACTACAGTATTCAGTATAATATAAGTTTCCATTTCTGACACCCTTTGTGCAGTGCACGGTGGATACTGTATATGCTTCTAAAATGCATAAAATTTAGTTAAACATTTTCTAATGTGCATACCAAAAACCTGTTATGCTCATTTAATGTAACACTTCCTAAAGCAAAGACTGAACTCATTAGTTAAAAGTTGAAAGGTACAGTATTATTTACCTGAAGCTTCCTGAGGAGTGGATGAGATATCTGGGAAGTTCTGAGCAGCGCTCAACATCACACTGTTTACCTGTGTACTGTGGAGGACACTTGCACAAGTTGGGTCCATCGCATGTCCCACCATTAGTACATATTATATCACCACAGTATGGAACACAAGGATAAGGTTTCTGCTTGCTGAAGTCCCATTTTCCCTTCACACAGGTGAAGTTTAGTTCATGGTCTCCCGAGGAGAACCTGTAGCCCGTCTCACAGGTGATGGTCAAAGAGTGAACCCTGTCATGATACCTGTGTATCAGTGTGTGAACAAGCTAAACTTATTTAAACATCCTAACACACTGGAGGATCTAGACCAATGGTTCCCAAACTTTTTTACATGACACCCCCTTTGTTTTTACCCTCATGCCCCCCAACCCATTTTTAAAAATCAATTAATCACCTTTTAATAAGTTTTACACCTTTTACAGTACAGTACTTGTATTTATATCACTTTCACTATCACCTAATTTACAATTATTTTCTACACAAAGAAAAGGGAATGTCAGTGCAGTATACAGTATATATGTTTTTCACACAGCCTTATGCCCCCCAGTTTGGGAACAACTGATCTTGAAAACAACAAGTCATTAACTTGTTGAACAATATGGATGTGGAAACATCTTAGGAAACCATAGATGGGCACACTTAAATATACGATAGAACAATACATATCCATGGCCAAGCCTATTAGTTATGTGCAACTAGGAACCATTAAATATGAACTGAACAACACCTGCCAAAGTTAAGAAGAGGTCTCAGTTTTAAGATATCAATGATGAACAAGATAGAAATACATATTCTATGTTCAGAAACCAAACTAGGTCAGAGTGTAGAAGAATGGAGAGAGTTCCAGAGGTGAATTGCAACCAAGTCCCAGTCAAGTCACAAACCTTCCTTTAATTTTGCAAAACCAAAATTAAGGACATGTGTGGGTGTAGCAGATTTGAGATGATGGTGGGTATGGAGACTCAGACCAGACCAAAGCAAAGACATTACAGTATACTGTATATGAATTCTTTTCTTCAGTGTTTACCTGAGAGGATGCAGATAACTTACCTGCTTTTGAGGAAAAACAATTTGATGCTGCATTATTGCATATGGAGCTTTCTGAAGTGTGCCATAAATCTAAATTATCTAAGTTCAAAGTTCATAATAGTCCTGACCCTGAAAATGAGCATCCTACAGTGTTAAGGGAGTTTAGTAATGAGCTCTAAGCACCCCCTTAAAATGTGGTTCTGCACAATAATGAAAATTTACATAATGTGTGTCTTATATTCAAAATCAGCAACCGCCATTGCATAAATAACTACAGACCAGTGAGTTTGACGTGTCTAGAGAGTACAGTATGAAAACATTTTAAGTGATGCCGTGATGTACAATCTACAACAAAAAACCTTGTGAAGGAATGCAAGCACAGGTTTCTGCCCACTCTCCTGCTTGACACAACTGTTGGAGGTGTTGGATGTGATAAGAACTCCTGGAATATGGTAGTAATATTGACAATACAGTACAGTATATGACTTGGCTTTGACGAGACATTTGACAGCATACCTCACAAAGGGATGAAAATTAAACTGAAAGGTATGGAATTCGAAGGAATGATCTAGCATGGATTGGAGTCAATTTTTACAATTTCAAACAATGTGTGGTGATCATTGGCATAAAATCATCAGGTGTTCCAATAACAACCATGCCACAAGGCAGTGTGCTTGGAATGATGGTAACCATTTATTTCATAAATGATATGCCAGATGCTAATCATTCTTCCTTATACAGGTATATGTTTGCAGATGACTAAGCCATTCAGAGAAATTAAGACCCTAAAAGACTGTGAAGCATTATCGGAATATCTATTGGCTTCAGAAGTGGTCAAAGGAATGGCTGCTGGGATTCAATGTTGCAAAATACAAGAGGATGCACCTACGTTGTACAAACAGTAAGGAAGCATACCACATGTCCCAGTGTGACGAAGATACAGTACTTCATTAACTGAAAATGAATTAGAAAAGGATACAAGTACTTCTGCTGACAAGAAATGGTGTTATCGGATTTCTGTGAGGAGGAGAATCATGCTAATAAACTAGTAGGGTCTGTGCAGTGTTCCCTCACTTGGAGCACTGTAATTCAGCTCAATTTTCAAGGTACACCAAAGACTACCAATTGCTTGAGAATGTGAGAATGTGCAAAGGAAAGTCATCAAACTGGTGTTAGTACTCACACACCTCAAGTACCAAGAGATTTTAGAATGTCTTCAATGGCCAAGTTTATACTGTAGAAGGGCGAACAGTGATTTAATGTTCGTTTATAAGCACCTCAGTCTTACGTACCCACCTGGAGTACGTGGATGGCTGCCCCACTATCAGTGCAGAAAACTGTTAGAGCTAACTTCTTCAGAGTAAGAGTTGTGAACTCTTGCAATAACCTGCCAAAGAATGTTGTGACAGCACCAAGTGTTAACTCATTAAGACTAGGCTTGACCAACATGGCACAAATTCAGTTACGTTCAAGAGCCCATGCATGTACAGTACTTGCCAACAGTATATACCAGAGAATAGATCGACTGCCCAACCAGCCAGATTTAAAAAAAAAATTCTGAAAAGAGACCCCACATCTCCCAGACAGGGGGATACACCAGCACATTACAAGCTTCACTTCAAACGTTCCTAAATCTGTCACTATGATATGTGACAACTATAAAATCATTTTTGTGACAACACCACCACAATAACTTTGGTAACAACACACCAACATTACTTTCACTGACAACAGAACCCCAATAACTACTTTGAAAATCCATCCATAACACTGCAACAACATCTACAATATCATTTGATAATCTACAAACAATACAACTGCAATGGCCACTATTCACAAACTATCTACAGTATACAAACCCACAGACAAAACTTACTTATAACTACAAGCTAACTACCACAACCACTACTATCCTTCCCTCAATCTTCTACACTTACTCATTCTTGTAGATGGCACGGTTGATAGTAGGTGTAAGGGCTTTAACACAGGTGTCTCCATCACATGTTTGTCCCAATACGCCAGTAGGACATGCACATGTGTTAGGAGCAACACAAGTTCCTCCATGGAGACAATGGCTCTCACACAAAGGTATACACTGGCCAGGGGTAGTCATCCATATGCCATCCTTACACTTCTCCACATACGTGTTCTTATCAGTGCTAGTGTGGATGTATCCAGTGGGGCAGTCCTTCCACACTATTCCTGTGTACCCACTATGTCCAGTCTCTATGTTTGACCTGTAAGGGAAGATGCAAAGATCATTAACCCTTTCAGTAATGAGTTTCAAGTACTGTACAGTACTGTAATATCCTGCTTAGTGCTCAGAAGAAGAGAGTGCTAACTGAATCAATATATACTAAAAGGGTCCATTAGGGAAATGTGTTCCTTAAGTCATTACTCCTATTTACGGGTGATATATGAGTGCAGGTAAACACATTGTCACAGTATCTGAGTATACATCTAATTAAATGGACACATTTATATAATGTCTTGTAACAATGGCATCAACCACTGTAAGAAAGGCAGTGTATAGATAAGGGGCCGGATACTCAAAAACATTTATGGGACTGTATGTCGTTGTGTACCCCGTAACTGGACTTACAGTCTCAGATTGGCATACTCAAAACACAGATGGTATACTCAAAACAAATATTTGACATCGAACTCCGTGTTAAAGCGCGTAACTTACACCAGTGAAATATGGCAGGGAGGGAGGAGAGCTTAGTGCAGACGACGCGTTAACTAGCAGTTCACATGACTCCCGCCTCTTACTCGCACCCGTTGCCAGGTGTACAATCAAAATACGTATGGGAAAAATTTATATCTTGTAGTCTAATTTGAAAACGGTGACAGGCCCAGAAATGAACAAATTATATAAACCATCCATTTACCGACAATAACATAATAAGAAACATTGTATCAATACTAGAGTGAATGAAATATTCCCATAAACAACAATTGACAACTGTTTATGTTTCCCACCTGGTCAACCAATGGGCCTAAAATGTTCTTTGCTCTGTTTTAGAAATGCTTCTTAGGGAGACTTCCAGGAGGCTTCTTAGCCCAGAACTATATAATGCTCTTTTGTACTTTACACACTGTAGTAAAACATACCAAGTCGATGTCAGTTGTCAGTGGATAAAAGTCACAGGGGATAAATGCCATGGGGGGGGAGGTTGTCTTGGGGAAGTTACCCAGAGGATAGTTGACCTAATAAACTACCAAGTAAGCATTTGTTCAAAGCAACAAGACCAAGTCACAATGAAACACACCATGGTAACCATTATTTGTGTATTAACAAGGTTTCTCAGTTTCCTTGCACTTTACCACACAGTATGTACACACTCCCCCAAAAGTATTGGCCGCGTTTCTCATCGATACAATGTGTCATAATGGATGAATATTTCCGATCACTAATTGTGATTCCTGCATTATGTTAGTAGACCTGCCTTCCTAGTATCTGTGAGGTTGTTAGTTATTATTTCAGGCATTTGTTGTAATATGGTGAGTCACCGTGCTCCATCTTTAGTAGAATAATTATAAGTAGCAAAAATGTATCAACGGCAGTCAAATAGTGGGTGTTCTCTGCTGGAAACCTATGACCAACACTAGTACCCAAGACTCATTGGAAAACACAGCTTGCACCAACAGGCATTGTCTCGTAGCACAAATCATGAGATGATTTATAATTGTTACCCCATCAACTGAGGTAGAAATAATATTGAAATGCAGTAAATCATAATGTCATTGTAATTTGATATAGCATCATAATACACCTGTAATTACTATACGCACAGTACTGTATTTGCAAATGAATGCAATATTGGATCATAGTGTTTCCTATTTTGTTCCAAGCAATTCCAATGTAACCTCGGTTCATGAAAACATAATGTTATATTTGGCAACTCATCCATTGGGGCTGAAATAATATAGGTACAGTAATACCCCGCTTTACGTGGTTCTCGTTAAAGCGTTTCCACATTTACGCGGTACCCCGCCAGAACCGGAATTCCCACTTTACGCGGTGCATCTACTCATATACGCGGGAAGCGGCGCGGGCAGGGTGCGCACAAGGTCGCCCAGTCATCAAAACATTACCGAGTTCTTCACCCGCCACCCACCACAGCCGGCCCAAGTCAGTGATAGTGAGGATATGGACTTTGAGGGGTTTGACAAAGAGGCCCTGCAAGCCTCTGTGGTGGATAGTGATACAATTAATACAAGTAATACAGGTCAGGGCCAATAATCTGCCCTCTGCCTCGGAACCAACCCCCAATCCCCGTGTGCCCAGCCATCTTTTCTACTAACGTAAGTGTTAAAAACCTAATATTATTGATATTTCTCTTAATTATTAACTGTGTGTGCATACCATCATAAAATTAAGAAGTTATTTTTACTACAACGTAGGTATTGTGTCTGAAAAAGTGGAGTTTGGGGGTCGGCCCAGTCTCTATTTCAATTAATCCCATATGTTCTGTTGTTCCATTTACGCGTTTCCCGTTTTATGCGGGCCTCCGTGGGTTTAATTGACCGAGTAAATTACTGTATAAGGTGAATAAATCAGCGGGGTTACTCATGATGTCATTGGTTTTGCATATGGCATCACACAACTCATCCTATTTTATTACATTATGTAGAGAATAGGTGGTATACTGCAGATATCATGGTGATTATCAGGTGTAAGAAGAAAGAACAAAAGTTGCAACTCACAATCAGAAATACCAACCGAACAGAGACTGCTATGCACGTGTTATTGTGTTCATTTCCAAATATGCATGAGGCTCAAGGGGGCTGTCTTACAAGAAGTCGTCATATCCTACTGGCTAAAATTATAAGCTGATGCTTTGGTGACCTGAAATAAAAATCACCAAATGTGGAATCCCTATTTTAGAACCTATAAAAACAAGTAAATTTTTGTATCACTCAGCCAAAACTGGTAATGGGAAAGTCCTATACAGTGAACCCTCGCTTTACGCGGTTTCACTTTACGCGTTTCTAAATTTACGCGGTACCCTGCCAGAACCGGAATTCCCACTTTACGCGGTGCATCTACTCATATACGCGGGTGAAGTATAATTTTTTTATTTAGCTCATAAAATTCATACAAATTATCCGGCCAGAATATAATTTACATTGCTGGAATTCTTACAATTTGATGATCATTTTGAATATAAGCATCATAGATTTTGCATTAGACATACAAATTTTAGATCTAATGCAAGTATTTTGTTTACTCAGAGCAAATATGTTATCTTTTGTGCAAAATATATGAAGTGTATATTCAAAATATTCCTGGTCTTGCAAGGAATCCAGCAATGTCAATTATATTATCCTAACTTTAGTCTGAGGTATTATTTATTACTAAAAATGTAAATATACTGTTATAACCCAATCATTTCTCTGGTAGGGAGGGAAGGTGGGGGTGAGGGGTAGGGAGGGAGGGAGGGACCCAGGGAGCAGGTGGGAAGAGGGGGGGAGGTGGGGTATTTTGATTGACAGATAGTATTTCGGTAAGTATATTTTGTTTATTTATTGAAGATATTTGTTTTAGCTCATAAAATTCATACAAATTACCAGGCCAGAATATAATTTACATTGCTGGAATTCTTACAATTTGATGATCATTTTGAATATAAACATCATAGATTTTGCATTAGACATACAAATTTTAGATCTACTTTAAGTATTTTGTTTACTCTGAGTAAATATGATATCTTTTGTGCAAAATATATGACATTTATATTCAAAATATTCCTGGTCTTACAAGGAATCCAGCAATGTCAATTATATTATCCTAACTCTAGTTTGAGGTATTATTTATTACTATACCTTAAAATCTAGTGGTTTTCCCCCAAAAATTTTTCAGAGAGGGAAGAGCCAGGAGTGTGAAAAGAGGGGGAGGGAGTCGAGTCCATTATTTGAATGGACATTAACTTGGCGACTGTATTTCTCTATTTCTCTTAAGTTTTAATTGTGTGCATGTACCATCATAAAATTAAGATGTTATTTTTACTAGAACATAGGTATTGTGTCGGAAAAAGTGGAGTTTGGGGGTCAGCTGGTCTCTATTTCATTTAATCCCATATGTTATGTTGTTCACTTTAATCGTTTCTCGCTTTACGCGGGCCTCCGTGGGTTCAATTGACCGCGTAAAGTGAGGGTTCACTGTATATTGTTCATCAAGCTTATTTAGTAATGAAAATACCGGGTATTCAAACTGCGTACTGTATATGCAATGATTTCAATATATAAAGAGAGCTTATAAATGTGATTCATAGTTGCCTTTGATCCAAAAGAGATCAAACTTTCTTGACCTCTTTTTGGTATCTAACCTTGAGATCAACCAAGAACCACGAACTACTGTTTAGGAACCTCTCAATTTACATAATACGTAATTACGTTCTTCAAAATGGTTGTGTAAATAAAACATGCATAAATCAGATAATGTAAATGCGTGCGGTGGAGACTAGGGGGTTTCGTTATTAATAAGACAGTACCCAATGTTATACCAGTGAAAAACTACAGTATACACGTACCAGGAAATATAAAATACTCTGGGCCTTTACTTGTATCACAAGCATGCTGACAGGAATACTTTCATGAGTATAGTGTTCCATCCATGTGCTCAACATTTGTTCCATTCTCTCCATATTCAATCTTGGAAATACAAGGTTTTAGATAAACTAATTAATATTGCACTCTTGGTGCTCTCCTTGATCTTCTCTGCACTATCACGAATGGTCCGTAATATACTGTATTAACTAAGTTCAAGGGCATGCGTAATAACAGCTGTTCATTTACCTCTCTTACAAAGTTTGAGCACATTCATCCCAATCTCAAAGGTGATGACTTTATGCTTCTTAGCACCACTGGTTCAATGGTTCAAGGAGAACTTAAAGGATGCTATGGTGGCATGGTGCAAGAGGGCAAAACATGTGCAATACTATACAGTAATTCATCACAAAATACTATAGCACTCTGTGACTAGAGACTGTATCCACACACTGAAGAGTGCAAGGCAGGAAGCTGCATACCCACACCAATTGTATGTACCCTTCTTGTATGGCGCTGCCACCCCAATGATGTTGCTTGTCGATGGTCGCGTTATTCCAAACATAAGCAAACTTAAGTAAAAAAAAATGTGTAGATGTACCACACGAGGTAATTGTATATATTAATATTTATGTACTGTACATTGCTATCCAAATATCAAGACACTTTTTCGAAACTACTGTACAGTCTTACTCATACAACAAGTTTGCTGAATTTCTTATAAATATTACATACATACCCTTCTTAAATCTAAATTTATCTCTCTACTTAACGATACTGTAACTCACAAACTGATACCACTGAGGGTGACATCCTGGCACTTCTTACTCTCACAATGAGTGCCTGTGTAGCCAGGAACACACTGGCAGAAGGTTTTTCCTTCGTTACTTTTGACACAGGTTGCATTGTTCTGGCAGGCAGGCACACAAGTGTATGTGCAGTGAGTCTCATTAAAGTCCAGGTACCTCTCTGCCCATGGAACCTTCACCTTCCAGTCTCCATTTTCACACCTGAACTTCAGCTGAAAGGAAGAAGTATTGATATGTCAGTAACTCAGGTATTTGAAACTGATGACTATGGTGCAAAAGTAAAAGGAAGTCTATGGTATGTAAGTAATAGTGATATCTCCGTTTGGGAAGAACGAGAAGTAGAGTTAGACGTAGTGCCTCTCACAATGAAGAAATCATTACATGAACCAGGACAGTTAAGGGCTTTATATGGGAATAAGATTAGTAATTTGCCTAAAATAAACACATTGCATGTATATTGTGACGGTTCAGTTATGTCAAGTGGCAGGGCAGGGTGCGGGATCCTTATAAGACAGTACACAGAACAAGGAAATGACATCAAAATTGGACTTCGGTTGAGCAGTTTTATTTCATCAACACAAGCTGAGTTATATGCAATGTTAGTAGGATTGGAAAATGTTGTAAAGAGGTATAAAGATGCATATTTTTTTTGTTGATAGTAGGGCAGCTTTGGATTCTTTGAACAGTGGGAGTCCAGTCTTTGGACACATTATTGGTTCATGTAGAAAATTAGTAAATACAATAAGGAAAAATGGCCATAATGTTCAATTTGTATGGGTCCCTTCACATGTGGGGATTGGTCTTAATGAAGCAGTAGATATAATAGCAAAAAGAGCCACGGAAAAGGCCGAGATCGACATAATATGTACTAAAACCTTGAAGCAATTAAGGAGCAAATTACGGAAAATACAATCAATAGAAGATAATTTCAAAAGGAATGAAATATACGAGAAAAGTGAAACAATGAAACATTACCATCATGTTCTCATGAACACAAAATTTACATATGGGAAAGATACGAGTAAGTGGAAAGATTCAGTGTATATGAGGTTAAGATTAGGATATAAATATTATTGGGAACTTGGAGCTGAGAGAAGTGAACAGGATAAAGAATGTAGAGTTTGTAGAACATCCAGATCCCATACCCTGCCACATTATATACTGGAATGCCCATTGCTTAATGTATATAGAAATGCCCATATAAATAATGTCCCCATGCAAACAGAATGGATGTTTAAAAATAGGAAAATAGATGAAATATTAAAGAAATATAGAAATTTTGCATCTAGAATATAACTATGTACTGTATTATAACTAATTATATGAAATATTAGGAATTTATGTGAGTCTTGAGAGGGACATTCCTGGACTGGGGTGAGGATGACTTATGTCACTTCATCCCTTTGAGATGAATTAATGTTTTTTGTATCTCAATAAACGTATCAATCAATCATATCTCCGTTAGTCAGAACATTTGATGCAAAGCACTTCCGGGAATGAGAGATTTCTGGGTAACGAGACGACTCTCTCAAAGCTGGGAAAAAATCCCTCATTCCCGTAATTTTCCGGGTATCGGGAGAAATTTCACAGAATTTTCAAGAAAAATCATTCCGAAAGCCAGAATTTTCCAGAAAATTACGGCTTTGGGAAAAATTTTCTGAGAAAATTTAAGTGCCTGCTATTGGAGAGTTCCGGGTTTGAGGGATTCGGGCTAACGGGGATATTACTGAGGACTGGTCCCACCTTTAATGATCTCAAGGGGGATATTCCAGGTCAATTTTCACCTGCCGGGATTTGAACCTGGCCCCCCAAGGTTGGCAGTATGGCAGCAATCCACTGGACCAATCCACAGGTAAATATTGTTTACTTGATTTACCTATGTACATGACAGGTTCTCATATACAGGTAGTTCTGCTATAACGCGATAATTGTGTTCTTGTAAAATATCGTGTTATAGAAAATCGCGTAATAGAAATAACAGGGCTTATGGAGAAAATAGGGTTAGGTGCAGATTACTCCAAATCGAAAAAAAATTTCGTAGTTAGCCTAACAGTGTATGTATAAGGAGGAAATATTAACGTAATGACAATTACATATGCTTGGTTTATGGGTTCAGAGAAGTTGTATGATAAAATACTGTACTGTAATAAGGAAAGATTTACAAGAGGTAATGTTTATGAGTGATGTGCAGAATACAGTACTGTTAAATTTCTTAGTTCTGGAGTGTGTAATAATATACAGTAATATAAATGGCAGACAGACAAACAGACACTAAAAACACCTGTATGATGAGACTCACAGCTGCATCCAGCCAACCATTGCTCTTTGAAGAACTGGCAACGCCTTGCAGCCCTGCACCTCACAAGACCTGCCTGAGTAGAGTGGCGGACAGATACATGCAGTGGAATTGTTGTAAAGTGCACATCGGCCATGCTGACACGGTGGCATGCACTCTATTACGCACTCCATTACCTCATTGTGTGGTACATCCTCCATCCTCCACTCACCAGCAACACACTTTATGTCCACAAATGAAGTGTTGAAGGTGGTCTTGTAGTGCAGGAGGCAGAAAGCCACAACATGATATCCCTCCACTCTACCGAAAAAATGTATGTTAATCAATATGAAGGTGGTGTTACAATATAATGTATAATACAGGTATACTGATTCCATATACAGTAGGTAAACTGCATAAGTGACACACAATACATCTCATTCTCAATATAATATATCATATACTCTACTCTAGTGATTTTCTTTCAGTTACACATTACTTTGACATACAGGAGTACTTCGATTTACGTAACATCAATTTATGAAAATTCGCTTATCCAAAAATAAATAAATAAATTGTTCCAGCGCTTCGGTATACAAAAAATTTTTACGGTATTTTTTCTTAGCATCGGAAGATGCTGCACTGCTAACACAGGCATCTAAGAACATTCCATGCTGAACACGTGCAGTAAGCAGTGTACTGTAGTGCAGGATAGTGTGTGGCAATGTTTCTGTGCTTGTACAGTGGCCTTGCAATTGCTTTGTTCTGGGAACCCCGCACGGAATTACTGAATCTCGGAACTCAGGATATATGTTTCCATGTTAAAGGTACTTATTCATTCTGGCGCTCATGCCATAGTCCCCCTTTTTTGTCTTTTCAGCCCCTAATTTCAACCAGAAAACAATGCTCTAATGTGACAGAAATACGGAAAATATTACATAATACAATAAAATAAGAAAAATTATGAGTGGAAACGAATTATATGTAGGGAAGTACAGTAGGTAGGTATGGCAAATAAGGGTGGAATGACTTGGCAAAGGTTCCCCCTCTGGGAGACTTCCGTCAATCTGACCCCATTAAAACGACTCCAGTACTGTATGTAATTTCACCATAATTCCCACATTATTTAAGTTCATTTGGTGCCAGATTATTACAACATTATTGTAAATAATAAATTATGTGTCATAGTAAGTTCCTGGTGATATGTTTACATAGACAAACAGCTGACCAGCCAACCAGTCAGCCAGCCAGGGAAGGTGCCGTTTGTGTAATATACAGTAGAATCTCTGTTATCCAGACTCCATGTAACCGGCACTAAAATTAAATAATAATTATAAAAATTCCTCCAAAATCAGCTAGAATCATAAGTTTGAATACCATGCACAAAAGAGATGAACTGTCATACTTATTGCTATGATAAACAATAAAATTGATATACAGTATAGAATAACATAAACTACAAAAGCACATGTTTTATGTACAAAAAATAACTCCTTCCACACTCAAACCATCCTCTAGGCAACAGGACACAGTTCAGGTAGTCACCCGGCTGAGTTACAGACTCGCTGCTTTATTAATGTTGTTATGATTCATACAGTACATACAGTATGATTAGAAAGTATTGTTCCCACAAAATATTGCTTAGAAATGTGTATTTTTACATTTGGAGGTAATTTTTTTCATAGGAATGTATCTCCCTTTATATAATGGTAGTGACTGGGAAAAATGGCTTCGATTTACAAAAGGTTTTCAGGAACGTATCCCTTCCGTAAATCAAAGCACTCCTGTACAGTGATCTCCCTCTCATTAAAAGACCTATATAAAAACAACAATGAAGACTTACTTAACAAACATCTCCGTGTTAGGGATGCGAGCTGGAGTGTCACTACAGGGAGGGCTATCACTATCTTCCTCATCTGCCACAAATCCCATAGCACACACATGGAGAAAGGTTACATAGTATTACTCTATAAAATACTGTATATACAGTACAACAAATTAGTTCTCAAACCTTCATTTGCTCCTCTGAATTCTTGAACAAATCCACCAAAGTACAAGTACAGTCTTCCCTCTCCAACTGCATGGATTAGGTTCCTGAAAAGCCCAGTGGTTGGCAAAATTGTGGTAGCAGAGAGCATTGTGATGGCACCAAGTGTGAGCTGACTCAAGACCAGACTTCACCAACATTGGCACAAATACAGATACATCCTGGTCCTGGACCCAGTACATGCCCAGTACTCGCTAACAGTGTGTAACAGAGACGTGACTGACTGCCCAAGCGGAAAACAGCCGATCAGTGGTGAAGAGAATAAAAGTAAAGTAAAATGAGATGGCTTGGTCCTATGGGAAATAAGGAGTTAGGTTATCAAACCCCCTGGGAGGCATGCCCCAAGTCCTAAAACACTGTATTCACTTTAAGGTAAAATACACTTATGTGATACTTCATAACATTAAATTTAGAATAGTATGTACAATAAATACCTCATAATTAAAAATAATAGGGGTTCTAACTCTTATGTATTATGACATTTTATGAAATATAAGGGACACCTTCACCCGGAGGAAACAAACAAAAAACAAAACAACAATTCTTTTCACTTATCTGCTCCAATCAAAATTTAAACATGTCTAAGTACAGTACAGTACCCTTTGAGATGCTTGGTCCTGGGTTATCAGATACAGTATATCGGCTCAACACTGGGCAATGATGGAAAAACAAGTGGAAAAAGCTTGTGCAGTAGACCGTAGATGTGCACTCCATGACTGACAAACTTGAATTGACCAACATACGTGACCCATATAATACTTGTTTACAGTGAGGCAGGACAGACAGTCACATGTGCATCATATATATTCGTAAATGTCTCTCATAATCTGAAATTTTACAAAATTTTACGAAAATACAGTGACCCCTCGTTTAACGAACGCCTCGGTTAACGAAATTTCGGTTAACGAACTGCCTTCCATAAGGATCTTCAATTCAGTTAACGAACAAAAATTCGGTTAACGAATTTCTTACGAACCGACCAACATATTTTCGCTTCCACTGACTGGGCAACCAGCTTTAGTATCAGTCCGCCAATACATTAATCGGTTCTAGGGCTTAAATTCCTTACTATTTTAGTAAATATCAAGAAGTTTATACTATTCAATAATAATAAAAGTTTAATATTCAATTTTTTAGTCATTTTAACAATTATTGAACAAAATTGAAGGTAAAGTGACTAGTTTAATGCGCGGCATCCAGCCTCTTAACACAGCAAACAGGCGTCAGTCTCTCTCTGTTTTCACTGGAGGTAACATCTTGCTTGAGACTCTCTTCAACTAAACGCTTTTTTTCTGTGTTTCCAAGCACATTATTGGTCATTTTGAAAATTATTTTACATATTGACAATATATAGTGCAGTGCAGTGTTATTTTAAAGAAAATATTCTTTATTTAAAGCTAATTTAACTTTGAAAAATACGTGTTGCCATTGTTTGAATCCAGCATGGGGCCTAAGAGATCAAGAAACGCAATTTCAATCCAAATAAAGCAGGAAATAATAAAAAAACACGAACAAGGTATTAAATCAAATGCGCTATGCAAAGAATATGGCATGTCGGCATCAACTGTGTCGACAATTCTTGCACAAAAAGACAAATTTAAGGAAGTGAACGTGAGAGACAAATCTACAAGAGTGTTTAAAAGTAGATCCCTAATGGTAGAAACTGAGAGGTTACTTATCATCTGGATTAGGGAAAAACAGATGAAAGGTGATTCAGTTTCTGGTGATTTCATTTGTGAAAGAGCCAGGGAGATTTATGAACATTTAAAGACAGATCAACCTGGTTCTTCAGGAACAGAATTTGAAGATTTTCGGGCTAGCAAAGGCTGGTTTGAAAAATTTAAGAAAAGAAGTGACATTTTAAGTGTTGTTAGGCATGGTGAAGCTGCTAGTGCTGATAAAGAAGGGGCAGCAAAGTTTTTAGTTGAATTTAAAAAACTGATGGAAGAAGAAAATTATCTTCCACAGCAAGTGTTCAATGTGGACGAAACTGGGCTGTTCTGGAAAAAGATGCCCAAAGAACATTCATCACCAAAGATGAAGCCTCTTTACCTGGGCATAAACCCATGAAAGACCGTCTCACTCTACTGCTTGGTGCCAATGCTTCAGGGGATTTCCGACTGAAGCCTATGCTTGTCTACCACTCTGAAAACCCCAGGGTGTTCAAGCAACAGAAAGTGGTAAGAACAAAGCTTGGAGTTTATTGGAAGTCCAACCGTAAGGCATGGGTGACAAGACAGTTCTTTAATGAATGGGCTGTTGATGTGTTTTGCCCCTCTGTCAAGAGCTACCTAACCACCAATAAACTTCCTTTAAAGGCTCTTCTCCTCATGGATAATGCTCCTGGTCTTGACCCTGACCTTGCCAGAAATTTGGAGTATCAATTTGACTTTGTGAAAGTGTTGTTTTGCCTCCAAACACTACATCACTCATACAGC